TCACTTCCCCCCTCTCTTTCCCCCTCTTTTCCCCCTCTCTTTCTTTCCCCCCTCTCTTCACCCTCTTTCCCCTCTGTCTTTCCCTCTCTTTTTTTCTTTCTTCTTCAAAGGGAGTAATGGGTATAACCTAGGGCCAGTGCAAGGATCTTGTGCCCCCCCCCAACTACATCTCAATTTTCATAAGGTCATATTCATATAAAATTTTTATTGTAACAACTATGTACAATAATGAGTCTTATGCAATATAGGTGAACAGTTCAACTAGAAAAATTGAAAATAAATACAATGTATCTAAATACAAATTAGATATGTCATAATAGATTATCTTAAATAAATCAATGTTTTGTGGCAATTTTTAACATCAACTTAAGATTTTTAATGTTAAAAAGTTGAATAATTTTAACAAATTCAAAATTATAGAAAAAAAATAGTGTTTTCTTTTGAGACTTGGGATGAGCAAAACACATTCATGGATTTGGACGGAAAAAAAAATCTCCCAGTACATCAAAATCTGGGAAATTTTTTCATCCTTTAATAGTAAGATAAATGTAGGTAGAAAAAAGCAAATGTTGATAAGATAGCGAGGGTCACAAAGCAGTGGCTAGGGACCCCAATCACCCCTCATCCCCAACTCAGTGGGGGCTTGGCACTGGTCCTGGTATAATCTACCCAGAACAAGAATAAATTTTCAAACTCTTTGGATAAAGTCTTTTTTTATTTTTCTCTGACTTCCTCACTTTTTATTTTATTTTTTTTCCCCCCACATGTATTTTGTATGTCTACATATTTTGAGAAGAGTAATATTCATTGGCAAATTGTTTTTGTTCTGTGATTAACTTTTGTTATTGCTTGCAAATGAATTTTAGATGCTACTACCAAATCCTTTGATGGTGCTGAACACATCAGTCAGTTGTTTAAACAATTAATTGGTGAAGATATTAAAGGTAAAAGTCTCACAATTAAGGTAGTATATACTGCCTCTGTCTAGATATCACTTTGTCGTTGTCCTCCTCCTCCACACCTACAACAAAAATTGGTTACCTGCAAAAGTTATTACTGTGTTGATGGCTTCCAGGTAACTATCAGGTACTATCTCTTGTTATTTTCATCCCATCACTACCACTTTTAATTTTCACATTTGAGCACTTTACTACTTGTGGTACTTCCTGGGAATGTAACACTCTATTCACTTCAGATCTGATAATCATTGAAAAGCATGCAGGTGATTTCACATTTATTGTTTCTCAAAGAAACTAACTTCAATATTTGTCTGTATACTCATTTCAAATAGGAAGTCTGATTTAATTCATCTCTCTCTCTCTCTCAATATCAATTTGCTAAGTGACAAATTTTATATTTGTATTAATCATATTTTTAACAGTAAGTTAAATTGGATGATGATGGAATGTTA